CTCTCTCTCTCTATATATATATATATCAATAGAGAGAGATAGAGAGGGACTCCCTACAAGGAGAGAATACGAAAATTTATAGGTTTATTATTAACCTTTTTTTTAGAATGTTAAAAAAACTTCTTGGAATAGGACCAGCTGCATTTGGAAGAGAGAAATTTTTATGAATAGGGGCCCTCAAAAATATTTTATTTATTTATTTATATTTATATTATTGTATTATTTAGATTATATTTAAATAATTTTTATATTTATTAATTATTACGTCCTTCAAATCAACTCTTTGTTCAACTTGGTCAAACTAATGAACCTTGAACATTTCATTCTTCTGATTTGATGTCCGATCCGGTTTTTAAAACCTTCCTAACAATAGCTTAATAGGTATGTCAAGAGTTATATTTTTTTTCAAATTCAATCGAGGTTATCATTCCGCAATTTTAGGCGACATTTTTCATTGAGAAATTTAGGCGATGATATCGTGATGAATAATTTTTAGAATTTATAGTATCTGAAGTTACATAGTTTATTAAATCTCACTGGAATTAAACCCCACTCATTGCCTGATAGGATAATAAAATCCTTAACCAGCGTTTGTGAATTTTTTTTTAAAGCTAAAGCTTGAAAGCTGGAATTATTTGCCATTTAGCATCACGATATAGTATGCTTTCAACGAAGTAAAAAAAAAAGAAAACCATTTAAAAACTGATTTTAGCTTAGAACAATGGCCCCATATTACTCCATCCATTTTCTATTTCATTTTTTAGTTTTTCAAGATGCTTTACCCAGTAACCACGAAAAGCACTTGTCATATATAAGTTGGATTGGGTGTAAGATAAATGTGTTTGAAAAGTATCATACTTCCAGAGGTATGTCTTCGTCAATTTAATTTGGATGCAGTGTTATTTAGTAAAAATTGACCAAATTGTATGTTTCACTCTTGTACAATATATTTAGATCATTTAAATTTAATTGCTGCTTCCACCATTAAAAATCACCCAAATTGTACGGTGCAACTTAAATCACTTAATGTGCACTAAGGAAATTTTCATAGTTTTATGTCTTTAAATTTTCGGATTGTTTTTCGTTCTTTAGTGGAGTTTTCATGTGTGAAATGTGAAGATGAATATTTGTGCTCTTATATTCTCTGTAACAAATTTCAATCTTGGAGGTAGTCAAAAAGCCATTAGATATGATGTAATTACGGCATAATAACTTGCATAGTAAAAACTAGTGTGTTCTGTTTTTTTATGTGTTTCTTCTAAGAGACCAGATTCCATGGACATTCGCTGATGGTTGCTTTACACTAACTTTCATCAGTATTGAGATGTTAATCTTGGGAATTGACAAATGTTATTTTTATTCTTTTGCTTATATCATACATCTAGATTATTGTTTCGGTTAGGGATAGTTGGGAACATCAATTGCACTATCTGTGTGCTTGGATCAATTTTCTAAAATGTCGCATAAATTGAAATAATCTGTCTAACTCTAGAAGGTGGGGCTTGTGCTAGGTCCACCTGGATCTGGAAAGGGTACTCAGTCCCCAATTATAAAGGATGAATATTGCTTGTGCCATTTGGCCACTGGTGATATGTTGAGGGCTGCCGTTGCTGCTAAAACTCCTCTTGGCATTAAAGCTAAAGAAGCTATGGAGAAGGTATCACCTGCATATTTGGGTTAGTTTTATTTATAGGAAGCAGAGATAAAAACAGAAGGGGAGAATTTTTCTTATCTCCACCGATTCTGAATATTATCATACTTGCTCCCACGTTATATTTGATCTTCTCCAGGGAGAGCTTGTTTCTGATGATTTGGTTGTGGGGATAATTGATGAAGCCATAAAAAAGCCATCATGTCAAAAAGGCTTCATTCTTGATGGATTCCCTAGAACAGTTGTTCAGGCTGAAAAGGTAGTGTTTTCTCTTTTTTATTTGGAGATTGATGAATTAGCAGAGCTTGAAAACCACCAAGCTACATCTGTTTGTTGTACTCTTTCGTGGTTAACAGGATTTAAATTAATTCAACATTTCTTTTCTTTGCAGCTTGATGATATGTTGGCTAAGCAGGGCACTAAAATTGATAAGGTGCTCAACTTTGCAATTGACGATGCCATTCTAGAAGAAAGAATAACTGGCCGATGGATCCATTCATCAACTGGTAGAACATACCACTCAAAATTTGCACCTCCAAAGGTCCCAGGTGTTGATGATGTAGGTTAATAAACTGTTATTTTCTTAACTTTCTGCCACTACTTTAAGCTTTCATTTTTGTTCTCTCTCACACATGTTTTTTGTGTGTCCGTGATGATGGTAGTTATTATTTATTCAATTTGAGTTTATCTGAAAAAAAGACATTATTACATACAGTTGTTTGAATTTTTAGTTTTATGGATTGGTGTTTTAAGGTGTTTAAGGATTTTTTTTTCTTGGGTTGGTTGTTAGGCGAGAGAGTTTCTTTTATCCTTAATGTACTTTGCTTTGAGTATCTTGTAGGTGTTCTCATTGAGAAGCTTAAAATATGAATTGAATGTGGTGAATACATGAATGATATGTTTATGTTGACTGCTTGTATGTGCATGATTGACTATGACTATGTAGAGTCACCCCTTTATGGTACTAGTGGGGAACATTAATGTACCCATGCTCTTGTACGGAAAATGATATTGATATTGATATTGATGCATCTTAATTGACATAATTTTTAAATCTCGCTCCTGTGACAGTTGTACATATATAATTTGATATTGATATGTTATTAATATAGTAAGATTTTATAAGATTTTTTGAATAACATCAAATATTTTTTTATTGATTTATTAAAAGCTTGAATGACATGCATATTGCTTCCTTCTCTCTTGTATTACTGTGATTTATGAGTACGAGTATTCACTGGTTTGTTTAACTCATAGTTATTTTAATATAACTTTTTATGTTAATTTAATTGTTTAAAAGATTAGTGATAGAAGAAAAAATATTTTATAGAAGACACGGATAACCAGTAACGAGATAAATTTAATTTAATTTAATTAGTGGCTCTTTCATTTTATTAATTACTAGCTATAGAAATTGGACATTAAAATTTTAATTTACAATGTCCAACCGTCTATATCTGTCTTGGTTAATCTCAAGCCTCCGGTCAGGTCGTGACATTTGATATGTAGATTTGTATCATTTGTAGACAGTCTTTTGGTTGATGCATTTGAGGGAATTTTTTGAAAATTTTTACATGCTTTTTTCATTAGAGGGATCGAACCCTTAGGCGAGGTGTTAGGTTTGAATTTTTATTTTTTATGCCAATAGAGCTTTCTTACTTGATAAATTTGACGATTGCAATTATTTTTTGATGATTTTTGTGGTTAACGAATTGAATGAAGGGATTGGTATGATTTGTTTTTATCAATTTGTTTTGTCGAAATGAGCATGCCTTTGATACTATGTTTTTTAGCTTTGATGCACTTGATAAAGATCTTATTTTAGTGATTTTATGATTTAAAGTTTCTTCTTTCTTAGCTTTGTGCTTTAATGGACTTGATAGATTATCCAAATTTGTCTTTAATATTTTTTTTGGAGATGTGCATATATTCTGTTCTATTCTTTTTGGTTTGATGGGTTTAAAAAAAAATGCATGGCAATGATGTAGCTCTCGGTGCTTATATTTGGTTGATGGCAACATAATTAGCTCAATGATTGGTGCTTTAATAGACTAATTCATGACAAAATTATTTTTGTTTAATTTTGGGCTTTATATGAACATTGAGATAGCTTTGGTTTTATACTCTTTGGTTTGTCGAACTTTTTGAAGAAGAATGTTCCTTCAATCTTTGCTCTGCATTTGATTAAAATTTTTGAAGGAGGCTGATGTTTTAATTTGATGATGACACTGAGCTTCGCTTAATGCCTTCTTGAGCAATAATCATCCTTTTAATTTTCATCAACATTTTAATTAACTTGAAAAATCTCTTAAGCTAGGCCACTTTTAAATCATAGACTTGAAGCTTATAGCTTTTATCATTTGGTTGATTTGAAAGGTCTCTTTCGCTATAGTATTTCTTATGGCTTGTTGAGTGATGATAACTTGGACTTATAGAGATTCATATCTAGGACTCGCTCTGAGTCATAGATTTGATTTGAGATATGGAATTTTTTTGCTTTTCCAAATTGATTTGTTAAAACTGATATGCAATTTTTTTGCTTTTCCAAATTGATTTGTTAAAACTTATATATTTTGATTTTTTTTTTCTTTGGCATTTGAGGCTTTAGGTAGACCTAAAAAGACTTGGAAATAGTGTATAAAAAATGATCTTAAGCTATTTGAATAAAATAAAAATATGATACTCAATAGGACACAATGGAGAAATAGCATTCATGTAGCTGAACCCACTTAGTGGAATAATGGCTTTTTGTTGTTGTTGTTGTTGTTGTTGGCATTTGAGGCTTTGAAACTCGCATAATTGGGAATGCTCTTATTTGATTTTATAAAAATTTTTAAGAGTCTTTGGTTTCTTCTTGATTCATTGACCAGTCAAGAAACTTTTTTAAATCTGGATTACATGAACTTGTGAAGTTAGATATGTTTGAGACTTGATAATTATTATCGTCAGACTGATAAATTGGGTGTTTTTTCACTGTGATTTTATGGCTTGTTGAACAAGGACTAATCAACGATTCATTCATATTTGGGTTTATTCAATCCGACCTTCAGGATCTCAACAAGTCCAAATTTTAAACTATGTTGGAACTTGCACTCTTTCAACTTAGCTTGTTGAAGCTTATGCCTTCTTTCTTAGTTTTAGAGATCTTGGCATTTGCATATTTGAGAATATCTCTATATGATTGTATGTATATTTTCTTGAATGAGGATTATCTTTTTGACTTCGCTTTGATATATCTATAAGTTACAAAAGCTTCTTGGATCCGCATTATTTAAAATTATCAAATCAGAGATTTGTTAATTTTATTATCAAATAGATTTGACTAAGGCTCTCTCACTGCACTGTCTTGTGACTCGTTGAGTGAGAAGTGTAGCTAGTGAATAGCCATATTTGAGCTTTATTTAGTCTTACTTTCAAGAATCGCTCAGATCTTATACTTGAATTATGGTGAACTAATGTTTCTCAAACTTAATTTCTTGATGTTTATAAACCTTAGAAATCCTCTCATTTGTTTAGAATTTCGACGAGTCAGGGAGACAAACTTTAACTCTTTAAATTGACTTGTTTGTATCAAGCTTGAAAATGACTTTCTCACTTTCGATCCATGCATTTGAATGTGACTTTAACCACTATACGTTTAAATAATTATTTGGTGATCTTGGCATGAACCATAATGTGGACTCAAATAATAAAAAACTTAACCTTATTACATAAGGGGAATTAAAAAAATTATTATATTTATTTGGGGATCTTGAAAGGGGTATGATGTATACCTAAATAAATTAAATAAAAAGCTCATCTTAAAGGAATTTTACTAAATATTAAGGGATTGTTTGATTTGCTGAAAGTGTAAAAATAAAGCATGGAATTTGGAACAATTTAAAATTATTTGGTTAATGCAAACATAATTTATATTATTTGGAACACATTAAAATTATTTTATGCATTGTAAAATAAATGTAAGACTTTACATTTGTTTGTTTGATTTGAAAGTTGGCCAGGTGGCAATGATCAGTGGCTATGGGCAGACAAGCGATAGTGGCGGGAAGCTATGTTAGACAGGCAGTGGTTTGCATGGGTGGGAGGTGGTTGGCGGTCAGAGGCAATGGTTGATGGGTAGAAGGCGATGTCTGATGGTGGAGGGTGGTTGGTGACTTGCATGCGGTGGCATGCAATTGGTGGCATGCTCACGACAGTCGACAACGAGCATCGTGCATGAGAAAGTTGGTGATGGGCGGACAATAGTCTAGGGTGACAACTAACAGTGGGGCCGCAGAGTTTGGGGTTGGCGATAAAGCCTAGCGGTCAGCCGTGTCGAACAATACTTTACACCAAATGATGTATTGGTTTGGGGGTGGCGATAACCGTGTCGAACAATACTTTACACCAAATGATGTATTTAAAATTCACCAAAATGTAGGTAATTTTAAATACCTTTAAAATGAACTAGAGATGAGTTACAAATACATTTTAAGTTTACATTGCATTTGGAATTCGTTCGATCACACTCCCATATTTCTTGAACTCCTAAGAAAGGAATGTGGTGCATTTCTTTTGCTTCTACCAAACAACTTCTAAATATATTTAGGGATCTCGACATAAAGTATGAATTCAACCCAAATAATAAAAGTCATCTAGTTATTTTGAGGAATTCCATCAATTCATCAATATATTTGAGGATTTCAACACGAGGCATGATATCAAACTAAATTAAAAAGTGGCCCATTTATATATATTTTTTCGGCAATTTATAAACATAAATCTTTAAAAATTTGTCCTGTCTAGCTGAGTAATTTTATGATAACTTGGAAACACTTTTATATTTATGAGTTTAAAATGTTGAAATTAAGCGGCTTTTTTTTTATCTTGTAAGGAATATTGGATACGTCATATTTGATTAGGCGCTATGTATAAAACTAGTGATACATGTCATTGTTTGGTGGCATTGATTTTGGCTGTTTAGATTGATAGATTGGTAGACTTCACCTTGATACTTCATTTTTATGACTAAAGGACTTTCCTAATTAGCTTCAAATAGTCTATCAATTGTTTAGTGGTGACTGATTGGCTTTTCTCCACCCAGGACAAATTTTCCCTCTGATATTAAAGCTCTAGACAACCTTACTTGATAAAGTTTAAAATTTTATTGAGCTTGGTATCTAACTTGATCAAATTACATTGTGCTCTTTTACTAGTAGATAAGCAATTCACTCTTAGGTTAGATTGTATTGAATAAGTGCTTTACAAGAGAAAATAGTAATCAGAAAGAGTTTGATGATCTTAAACTAGTAGACAAGTGGAAAGTGAGACTCATGGATGAGAGACATGTGTTGATTCAACTAACCGTGGTTGAAGACTACACCTCAATTTTCTCCACGAAATATCTTAATATCGCAGACAAATCAATGAATTTACTCAGGTGGTCCCCTGATTTTGACCCAAATCATGAAACTCCCGCTGTATCGGTATTGTTTAGTCTACATGGTCTCAAGTTACACTTTTTTCATCATCATGTTTTCTACTTTATTGGGGTCATCCTTAGGGACCTATGAAGCTAGATCTACCCAC